ACAAACAGGTAGTTGGTCGAACCGATCCATTGGACCAACAGGCCAGTGGGTCCAACTAGTCGATTGGTCCAAAAGGTCCATCGGGCCAACAGGCCAGTTGGTCCAACCGATCCATCGGGCCAACAGGCCAGTTGTTCCAATTGGTCCATCGAGCCAACAGGCCAGTTGGTCCAACCTGTCCATCGGACCAACAGGCCAATGGGTCCAACCGGTCCATTAGACCAACAGGTAGTTTGTCCAACCGGTCCATAGGGCCAACGGGCCTGATGGTCCAATCGGTCCATAGGGCCAACGGGCCAGATGGTCCAACCGATCCATAGGGCCAACGGGCCCGTTGGTCCAACCGGTCCATTGGGCCAACGGGCCAGATGGTCCAACTGGTCCATTGGGCCAACAGGCAAGATGGTCCACTCGGTCCATAGGGCCAACGGGACAGTTGGTCCAACCCGTCCATAGGGCCAACACGCAAGTGGGTCCAACCGTTCCATTGGGCCAACAGGCCAATGGGTCCAATTGGTCCATTGGACCAACGGGCCAGTTGGTCCAACCGGTCCATGGGGACAACAGGCCAGTTGATCCAACCGCTCCATTGGACCGACGGGCCAATAGGTCCAACCGGTTCATTGGACCAAAAGGCCAGTTGGTCCAACTAGTCCACAGGGCCAACAGGCCAGTTGGTCCAACCGGTCCATTGGACCAACATGCAGTTGATCCAACCGGTCCATTGGGCCAGCAGGCCAGTTGGTCCAACCGGTCCATAGCGCCAACGGACCAGATGGTCCAACCGGTTTTCTGGACCAACGTGCCTGTTGGTCCAACCGGATTATTGGGCCAACAGGCCAGTGGGTCCAACCGGTCCATTGGGCCAACAGGTAGTTGGTCGAACAGGTGGTCCATTGGACCAACAGGCCAGTTGGTCCAACCGGTCCATTGGACCAACGGGCCGGTTGGTCCAACCGGTCCATCGGACCAACGTGCAGTTGGTCCAACAGGTCCATCGAACCAACGGGCCGGTTGGTCCAACTGGTCCATCGGACCAACGGGCAAGTTGGTCCTACCGGTCTATTAGACCAACAGGCAGTTGGTCCAACCGGTCCATAGGGCCAACGGGCCAGATGGTCCAACCGGTCCATAGGGCCAACGGGCCAGATGGTCCAACCGGTCCATTGTGCCAACGGGCCAGATGGTCCAACTGGTCCATTAGGCCAACAGGCGAGATGGTCCAACCGGTCCATTGTGCCAACAGGCCAGTAGGTCCAACTGGTCCATTGGACCAACAGGCCAGTTCGTCCAACCGGTCCACTGGGCCAACAGGCTAGTTGGTCCAACTGGTCCATTGGACCAATAGGCAGTTGGTCCAACCGGTCCATTGGGCCAGCAGGCCAGTTGATCCAACCGGTCCATTGGACCAACAGGCCGTTGGTCCAACCGGTCCATAGGGCTAACGGGCCAGATGGTCCAACCGGTTTATTCGACCAACGGGCCAGTTGGTCCAACGGGTCCATTGGACGAACAGGCAGTTGGTTGAACAAGTGGTCCGTTGGACCAACAGGCTAGTTGGTCCAATCAGTCCATTGGGCCAACAGGCCGGTTGGTCCAACCGGTCCATTGGACCAACAGGCAGTTGTTCCAACCAGTCAAAGGACAACGGGCCAGATGGTCCAACCGGTCCATTGGACCAACAGGCTAGTTGGTCTAACCGGTCCATAGGGACAACAGGCCAAATGGTCCAACCGGTCCATTGGACCAACAGGCCAGTTTGTCCAACCGGTCCATAGGGCCAACGGTCCAGATGGTCCAACCGGTCCATTGGACCAATAGGCCAGTGGGTCCAACCGGTCCATTGGGCCAACAGGCCAGTTGGTCCAACCGGTCCATTATGCCAGCAGGCCAGTTGATCCAACCGGTCCATCGGACCGACAGGCAGTTGGTCCAACCGGTCCATAGGGCCAACAGGCCAGTTGGTCAAACTGGTCCACAGACCTAACGGGCCAGATGGTCCAACTGGTCCATTGGACCAACACGCCAGTGGGTCCAACCGGTCCATTGGGCCAATAGGAAGTTGGTCGAACAGGTGGTCCATTGGGCCAACAGGCCAATTGGTCCAACCGGTCCATTGGACCAACATGCAGTTGGTCCAATCGGTCCATTGGGCCAGCAGGCCAGTTGATCCAACCGGTCCATTGGACCAACAGGCAATTGGTCCAACTTGTCCATTGGACCAACAGGCAGTTGGTCCAACCAATCCATAGGGCCAACGGGCCAGATGGTCCAACCGGTCCATTGGACCAACAGGCCTGTTGGTCCAACCGGTCCATAGAGCTAACGGGCCAGATGGTACAACCGGTCCGTTGGACCAACAGGCCAGTTGGTCCAACCGGTCCATTGGACCAACAGGCAGTTGGTCCAACCGGTCCATTGGGCCAATTGGCAGTTGGTCCAACCGGTCCATTGGGCCAATTGGCAGTTGGTCCAACCGGTCCATAGGGCCAACGGGCCAGATGGTCCAACCGGTCCATAGAACTAACGCGCCAGATGGTCGAACCGGTCCATTGGACCAACAGGCTAGTGGGCCCAACCGTTCCATTGGGCCGACATGTAGTTGGTCGAACAGGTGGTCCATTGGGCCAATTGGCCAGTTGGTCCAACTGGTCCATTGGGTCAGCAGGCCAGTTGATTCAACCGGTCCATTGGACCAACAGGCCTTTGGTCCAACCAGTCCATAGGCCCAACGGGCCAGAGTGTCCATCCGGTCCATTGGACTTACAGGCCAGTTGGTCCAACCGGTCCATTGGGCCAACAGGCCAATGGGTCCAACCAGTCCATTGGGCCAACAGGCCAGTGGGTCCAACCGGTCCATTGGAGCAACAGGCCAGTTGTTCCAACCAGTCCATTGGACCAATTGGCCAGTTGGTCCAACCGGTTTATAGAGCTATCGGGCCAGATGGTCCAACCGGTCCATTGGACCAACAGGCCAGTGGGTCCAACCGGTCCATTGGGCCAACAGGCAGTTGGTCGAATAGGTGGTCCATTGGACCAACAGGCCTGTTGGTCCAACCGGTCCATTGGACCAACAGGCAGTTGGTCCAACCGGTCCATTGGGCCAGCAGGCCAGTTGATCCAACCGGTCCATTGGACCAACGGGCAGTTGGTCGAACCGGTCCATAGGGCCAACGGGCCAGATGGTCCAACTGGTCCATTCGACCAACAGGCTAGTTGGTCCAACCGGTCCACAGAGCTAACGGGCCAGATGGTCCAACCGGTCCATTGAACCAACACCCCAGTGGGTCCAACCGGTCCATTGGGCCAACAGGAAGTTGGTCGAACAGGTGGTCCATTGGGCCAACAGGCCAGTTGGTCCGACCGGTCCATTGGACCAATAGGCAGTGTCACCGCTTATGCACGTGATGCATAAGCAATAACAGGAATACAAGGGGTGAAGGAATAGTAATAGATGATAACCTTACAATTGCATTTCAAGTAGATTAATGAGTAGTGTAGAGTGTAGCGAGGTTACTGTTGGAATAGGCTTAGAAGGGGGGGGAATGGAATGTGAACGGTTGGGAAGTCTCGGGCGGGGAAAGCCTCGAAGTACGAAATGTGGGACGAAGGGCGAAATGTCCCAACCCCGAGCCGCGCATTGAGGAATGTGCAGCACAGGGTTGGGCAGGGTAAGGCCGAGCACTCACAGAGCACTCGTTGCTTGTTTCCTGGTATTCTCTCAGAATAGTGGAAGATATTGCTCTATGCTTAGCACACAGTGGTACGCCACCAAGAGGGAACCAGTAGGGTGAGGGAGAGATCCCGTTCATACCAGGAAACAAGTGTAGGCGCATAGCATGGACAAGTATGAGTTACGATGGGGCCGGGTCTTCACTCGACGCAAAGAGGAAGGGCCGCGGCCCGAACGCTCGCAGGAGCGTGGGCGTTCCTTAGAGCGGTCGCCCCGAAGGCCGGCCTTTCGAGCTAATAGAGTTTTCGTCGTGCCAGCCAGCCGAGAAAGAGAGGCGGTGCAAGGCGTACGTGGCGGTGGCCGACTCGGCGCGATGACGAGCGACGTGCCGTGGCGGAGGAACACGTTCCACCTTCGCGGTGACGAGCAGCGCCACCCGCGCGACGAAGGGGTGTTCCACTCCCCAGAAAGGGGGGGTCGGCGGCGGGATGAGCGAGGTCGCTGGCGGAGGAGGGAGGGATTCCCGCGGGAGCAAGGAGTGGGCTCTGGGGTGCACTAGGCCGGACAGGATCCATGGGCCGAACTGACGCGGGAGGAGCGTGACCACGAGGAGGCTGAGCGGGAGCTTGGCGACGGGCCGGCGTACGACGACGGGCAGTGGCACCTCGACGAGCAGGCGCACGGCGAGGAGCCGGAGCGCAGTGACGAGCCTGAATACGGCGACGAGCAGGATAGCGACGGCGAGCAGGAGCATTTCAGGGAACAAGAGCGCGATGAAGGGCAGGAGGCCGACGGCGAGCGGGCGCACGGCGGGGAACAGGAGCACCACGACCCGCGGCGGGACGGCGGCGAGCAGACACGCGCGGGACCCCACGTCCCAGGCGGAGTCGAGGAAGGAGAGCGCGCGCCCGGTGCGACACACGCCGGCACCACGGAGACAACGACAGAGGAGGAAGGAGAGGCGCAGGAGAGGGGGTCGCGTGCGACGGGCCCCAAACGTCGGGAAGAACAGCCTGCCCGCAATGCACCGCAGCCGGAAGGCAAGGCTCGAGAGGGAGGGGACACGCACGATGCCGACGCGGGGAGTGCGCGGACGAAGCGAGGCAGAGGACAGACACGCAACGGGAGTCCAGCGTCGGCGGGCGGAGGCGAGCGACGGCGGCTCGCGCTCGTCAAGGGAACCGCCGCCAAGGGCCGAACGGTATGGGGGCGTGGAAGGAAGACGGGGAGGAGCGGAGGAGAGCACGGTTCGCTCTGGGGCGCCACCGCGGGCGCTGGGAGGAGGCCATGGGGGGGAGCATCACTCGCCAGAAACTCGGAGGCGTAGGGAGGGGCGGCGGATGGAGGGGTCACGTTCACCGCACAGGCGGCAACAGTGGGGGGGGGGAACCAGAGGAGAATCGCGGTCGCCCGACCGGCGCCGTTGGCGGGAGGAAGGGCGGGAGGAAGCAGGACGCGCGCCGCCAGGCACACGGCTGCAGGAGATAAGGGAGTGGTCGCCACCCCCAGCGAGACATCAGCCGCGTGAAGCCGGCCCGAGGGTGTGGGAGCAGAGTCATTACTCGCCGGAACGACGATGGGAGCAGACGGGAAGGGGAGGTAGTCAGTGGGGACAGTCGGGAGAGGTGCGCGAAGGGAAGCACGAGAGCAGGGCCAGGAGTGGTAGCTTGGCCCAGGGGGCTGAGCGAGCCCGTATGGCCAGAGAGGGACTGGAACGAGCAGGGCAAGGAGGGGGGTATGGGAGACCGCGGGGAGGGGCAAGTGAGTCTTGGGGAGAGGGAAGAGGAGGTGGGGCCACGGCGACAAGGGTAGAGGTGCCGGCCAGATTCTCGGGAGATCAGAGGGCGGGGCCATCACTCAAGAACTACCTGATGCAGGTGGGGAATGTGAAGTATCGGTGCGACCGGAACGGCATGGACCCCATTGATTTCTTCCTAAGCCTGCCCAACACCTTAGATGGAGAAGCGGAGACTCTGTACTGTATGAGGATGGAGGAGCTGCTGTGGAGGGCGGGGAGGTATGGAGAGGACCCCACTGAAGCATTTTTTGAGCGGTTGCAATGGCAGTTCCCAGGGCACACGGCGGAGCGCATAAGGGAGTTTCAGGAATTCAAGCGAGGGAGGACCGAGTCACTGCTGGCGTATTACAATCGGCTGACCAATGTGGCCGAAGATGTGAGATGCACGGACAGCAGTCTCTTGATAAGCAAGTTCCTAGGTGGCCTGGACGAGGCACTAGGAGGCGGGCTGCGTATGAAGGTGTATGAGCTGGGCGCGGAGGAGAGCCTGGATGAGGTGTTCGAGCTGGCCGAAAGGGTGGAGCTCGCACAAAGGAAATATGAGGCGTATCTACCGCGGCAAATGAAGAGAGCCCGCCGGCCGACCTGGGCAGCAGCCATGATACCAGAGGACAGAGGGAAGGCAGAGGAGCGAGGAGAGACACGGGCAGAGACCAGGAACTGCCACCGCTGCGGGCAGCCAGGGCATCTCCGCAGGGATTGCAAGAACTGTGATGGGTGCGGCAAGCCTGGCCACCGCAAGCGAGAATGTCCGGATGCCGCCAAGTGTGAGGTGTGCAAGAGGAGGGGGCACGAGGCCAAGGACTGCTATCAGAGGGAAGGAGGAGCCAGGAGGAGTCCTGAGGATTTGCAGCGGCAGATCAGCAGGTTGCAGGCACAATTACAGGCAACAGGACCAAGGTGGGGGCCGGAGGCAGGGATGTACGCCAGAGACGAGGAGGGAGAGGAGGTAGAGCAAGACGTGCAATGTGCACTTATGGCATGGAGGGGAAGAGAGGAGATGGGGCTAAGGAGCGGGGGGGAGGATGGCAGGCGGGAGCAGAGCAGGAAGGTCCGGGGAAGGGGGCAGAACCCAGAGGAGCCAGAGGTGGTTCCGCCACCAGCACGCCATCCACAGGAGAGGCTGGCATATCAGACCTCAGTGTTGTTGCTGGAGGAAGGGGCGATGGAAGTGGAAGGAGAAAAAGTAAAGACTGCCATCATATACACGGGGGCACAGAGTGTGATGCTGGGAAAGGGGATGGCCGAGAGGTTAGGGCTCTTGGCGCCGGGCAGGCATGTGAAAAAGGGGATGTTGGTGATGACAGCAGAGGGGGGGGAGCCGAAGTGGATGCCCTGCTCAAGGGCACCCATAGAGATGACACTCCTGCCAGGAGGGGAGCATGAGACCAAGATCCGGATGAGATGTGTCATCTCCGAGTCTGAGGACTTTGACGTATTGGTGGGCACAGAACTGGTGTTCGCGGTGGGCATGACCATATGCACGTGGACCGAGAGGGTGGCATTCCGCACGCGGTACTGGAAGAAGGAGGGGCCACTAGGAGAGCTGCCAGTACGATTCGTGAAGGTGGAGCCCAGGAGAGCATACCAGGCTGTGGCGGGACAGGAAGAAGAGACAGGAGAGGCGGGGGAGAACGAGGGAGTGTGGGGTACCAAGGGAGTGCCCAGAATGAGGATGATGAACGAGCCGAGGCTGCAGAGCGACTGGCAGCAGCCCATTCGCTTGGTGGAGCTGTTTGGAGGGATTGGGGCGGGGCTAGCAGCAGTGGTGAGAAGTGGGGTAGCAGTGCACAAATGGGTGTCCGTGGAACGCGCACCCGCGGTAAGGAAGATTGCCGAGCATCACGCGTGGAAGCTGCAAGCGGAATTCCCAGAGCTTCTAAGTGCAGGAGTCATCCGCGAAGCCATGGGGGGGGACAGCCACGACGTGGCACAGTTGACAGAGGCGGAAGTGGCCAGCTGGGGGCAGGTAGATCTGCTGGTGGCGGGGTGGGAGTGCCAAGGGGTATCATGGGCAGGCAAAGGGAGAGGAAAGGGGGACCCGAGGACACAGCTGATGGAGGACCTCTTCCGTATCCTGGAGTGGCTGCAAGAGAGGCAGGGGAGAGTGGCCTACCTGGTGGAGAATCTGGACTTAGAGGGAGACAGTAGGGAGCCAGTACGGCTGGTGCGGGAGAGGATGAGGGAGCAATTGGGATGCGGCCAGAATGGGATCACGGGCTCACCAACTGAGAATGTACTGGCAGAACATAGTCCCAGCTCCGAAGCTGCAGGAGGAGATAGAGGGGGTGAGGAGGGCGCCAGAGAGGAAAGTACAGGATATCCTTGAGCCAGGACGGACCCCAGCGCCGGTGGACAAGAAGGGATACAGCAGGCACTACCCTTGCAACCAAGAGGGACAGGAACGGCGAGCGCTGCCCACTCTGGTTGCATATGCAGGGGCGGCAGGGTATACATGGGCAGCGGGGGAGCCGGGCCCAGGACTCATCTACGATCACAGGAAGAAGCGGTGGGAAGAGCCGACCGCACTGGAGCGGGAACTGGCCTTGGGGTACGGGGAGAATGCAACGGCGGCTCCTGGGGTGAGCGAGGCTGACAGGAGAAGAGCCCTAGGGAACGCCATGGACGGCAACATGATGAGATGGCTGGTCCAGCGGATGTGGAGAGAGACGGTGATGAGCTGGGGGCAGGAGGAAGGAGTAGGGGGCACAGAGCCGCGCCGGGATGAGGAAGTCTGCAAGGAGAAAATCAAAGAGCTGCTGGAGGCCGGGTTAATCAGGCGGTCAGAATCGGAGTACGCCACGCCCACAGTCAAAGCTGCCAGGAAGGACCTGACAGGGAAGGTCCTGAGTAGGAGAATGTGCGGAGACTACCGGGCGCTCAACAAGATCACCGTAGCAGACAGGTACCCCATGCCCATGGCGGAGGAGATATTTGACAAGCTGGCGGACGGGGTCTTCTTCTCCACGTTAGACCTGAGGCAGGGGTTCAACCAAATCAAGATTAGAGAGGAGGATGTCAAGAAGACGGCCTTCCATGGGCCAGATGGGCTGTATGAGTGGCTATACATGCCATTCGGGCTGAGGAATGCATCGGCGGTGTTTCAGCGGGTTATGGATGCAGTACTGAGGGAGGTGGAGTGTGCGGCGTGCTACATAGACGACGTAGTGATCTTCAGTGCCACCGAGCAGCAGCATCTGCGGGATGTGGAGAAGACACTGGCGGCAATAGAAGCAGCGGGACTCACATGTCACCCCAAGAAGTGCAGGTGGGATGAGGAGACAGTGCAGTTCCTGGGATACGAGGTGAAGGGAGGACAGATTGGGATCCAGCAGGCTAAGGTAGAGGTCTTGGACAGGCTGCGGGAGCCAAAGGACAAGTCGGGGCTGAGGGCGGTGTTGGGCTTCCTTAGCTTCTACAGGAGGTTCGTGCCCAAATTCAGCAAACGTGCAACAGCCTTGAACGGGCTGCTGAGGGAGGACAGGGCATGGGAATGGGGAGAGGCTCAGAAGGGAGCCCTGCAGGACCTTATGACAGCAGTGAAGACGGCAACCGTGTTACGGCTGCCAATAGCAGACCAGCCATTCACCCTCTACACCGACTGGAGCAGCCAGGGAATGGGAGGGATACTCTGCCAAGAGGTGCAAGGGGAGGAGAAGGTAGTGGCCTACGCGAGCAGGAGCTGCAACTCGGCGGAGGCGCAGTACAGCTCGTACATAGGGGAGGGACTAGCCGCGGTATGGGCGGTGGGGCATTTCAGGGTGTACCTGCAAGGACGGGAATTCACGTTGGTGACGGATCACCAGCCACTGACCTGGCTGATGACTACGCCGGGACTGACAGGCAGGAACGCACGATGGGCGATGAAGTTGCAGGAATACGACTTCAAGATTAAGCACAGGCCGGGGAAGACACTACAGCATGTGGATGGCCTCTCCCGCAACCCCCCACAGCTGGAACCGAGCGTAACCTTAACACTGCTGGCCAGACAGGTAGAAGTGGGGGGGGCCAAAGGGGGCAAGGGGCCGGCAGACATTTGGGAAGACGAGCAGGCCATGCGGTGGGTGAAGGGAGAGACGGAGGAAGATGAGGAAATGACAGAGAGAGTGAGGGCCAGGGGGCACCACTACAGATGGTATCAGCAGCAGTTGCAGATCCAAACGGAGGATGGATGGAAGCTGGTGCCAGCACCAAGGGACACGGAAGCTGTGATCAAAGAGGTGCACACGAAACTGGGGCACTTCGGACATGAGAGGACAGTGCAGCTGCTGAAGACAAAATGGTGGTGGGAGGGAATGCGGAGGCAAGTGAAGGGCTGGGTGGAGGGCTGTGAGGCATGTCAGAGGAGCAGGGCAAACCTCAGCCAGGCTAAAGCCGAGCTGCAGTCCCTGCCCATCTGAGGCCTAGGCTTCAGGTGGTCCTTGGATCTGGCCGGGGAACTGCCCCTGAGCAGGGGGGGTAAGCGCTACATCGTGCTCATGGTGGAACACGTGAGCAAGTGGCTGGAGGTGAGGGCCATCTCCAGCAAGAGCTCCAGGCAGGTGGCAGCGGCGTTCAAGGAGCAGGTGATCTGCCGATTCGGAGCATGTGCAGAAGTCCTCACAGACCAGGGGACTAAATTCCAAGGGGAGTTCAAGACGCTGCTGGAAGAGACGGGTATCACTCACAGGCGCACCTCCTGCTACCACCCACAGAGCGATGGGCTGACAGAGCGGCTGGTCCAGACCTTG